AGTACCCTTAACAGGGTGAACAAAGTTTTTCTCGAGTCCAGTTCCAAGAAATCAATCTAATTCTAAGAATCAAGACTGGTGACCAAAGTTCTAGAGAGTCGTGAAATCCTTTAGAACGACTCGAAGATCATGCGATGATCGTGGCCAGTGGCTACTACACGGTTAAGGGACCGAAAATCGCAGTGTACAGGTAAGTCGATCGAAGGGAGACGGGAAAAATCTGCGTATCCCGGTGATTAGCCGGCGCTAGGCGTTAACGTTATGCTCGGAGAGCAGGTTTGACGGGGCCAGCGGCGAGCGAGCAAACGAGCGAGCGAGTCGGCGAGCAGACGAAGCGAGATGGAACGCGTGTACGGGCGAGTATAGCCGCGAACGGGGCGATCGAGTGTGCGAGCGTACGAGCAAGCGAATTGGACGTGTGTAACGGAGATAGAGAAGCGGTCCCCGGCAAACAAGAAGCGAGCCGCAATGCATTCGCTCTACTCGCTAGATATAAATACGCGACAGAGGGCAAGGAACCAACCACGCCTGCACCGACAGCTACTGCCTAACGACACGGACACGCACACGCGGTCGCTCATTGTGATAAAGCAGAAGAAGGAGCAGGGAGAGAGAAAGACCAAAGGAGAGGAACGAGGAGAGATAGAGAGAAAGAGGGTAAAGAAAGACGAAGAGAGGAGGGATAAGGGGTTGGGTATCGAGAAGAGGGACGGAGAGAGTGAGTGTTCGAGAGAGAAAGGAGGGAAAGAGGGAAAAAACGGGAGACAGAGAGAAAGAAAGAGAAAGAGAGATAGGTGTAGGCTGGCTCCGAGGCTGTGTTCGTTCATGCGCCCATCCCGCGCGCGCTGGAAGTTGGGACGAATGTGGCCGGTCGAGTCTCTAGAAGACGCGGCCAAATATTGCATCCTCGGATAAATATAGGCAGACCACGGCTGCACAGGCCGCAGCCGCCGACTAACGCGCGCACTTTTCTCTCCACGGTGCCTCCTCGTCTTTGGGACGGCGCGCACCAGCCATCTAGCCACCGACGGCACATTCCTCCTGCGGGCTTACTCTTCCTTTCTCTCTCTCTCTCTCTCTCACTCTCTCACTTTAACTCCCTTTCCATGTGCGCGAGAGCGATCGTTAAATTCGTTTCGTGGCCGAGAACTTCGGGCCGGCACGTTGCCCCGTTGGTGCTTTCCATTCTTGTTCTTCGTCTTTTTCGAGCTCGCTCCCGCGCCGCTCTCTTTCCGTTCTTTCGCACCGAAATATCTGTACGTAATGGGAATCGCTCGTGAACGGCACCACTCCTGGTGCAAAGCGAATTTTCCTTCCCCCATCCACCCCTCTTCCTCCCTTCCTCTGAGGGGTTGTACACGAATCCTACGAATCGGTTTCGGGGACCGATCACAACGAAGTCCCGAATAGGCAAACAACTACACGAGAAGACCATCTGTGTGTATGTGTGTCGTCCCGCGGAGTGGCGGACGGAAGAATCCCTGTCCGGAACGGAAGGCCTCGAGAGAGAACCTCCAATCCTCCTCCTCCTCCCGCTATGAATCGCGGTGTTATCGTTTGGTTGCTTACGGCACGCGATAACTCGTGCTCGGTACAACGGTGCATTGTCGAGTGATAGACTAAACGAGCACATACATACGTATGTTACAATATATATGTATGTACATAAGTGGTTCCTATCGATATCCGTCGATACGATCTAAACAGAAGGACATATCAAGACCACGGAGGAGGAACTACTTTCGCATTCATGAAATTGGTGTACAGTAAATCCTCGATAAGTGTTCGAGAGGTTTATCACAGTGATAGAGTTGGGAATTCTGAAGTCAATGATATCTGTTTCAGCCGCATATGACCATTAGTTTATAAAAATATTTCATATTCAGTGCCGAGAAGCCTTGCTACACTCATCGAGGATTTACTGTATCACGATTGGGAACCGTAGAGGCTAATCTCCGAGGCAACTCGACTGCCAGGTAGCAGGTCCGGTTGACACCGTTCGAGAAGTTAGAAAGATTCGAATCCTTCTCCACCACCGGATAAGGTTGTGTTCTTTGTGCCTGAGTACCACGCCAGTCGCTTCGAGCAAAGCGCAGCAGCAACCGCTTTGTTTTCGCAGCAGCCGTAACCTTCGAGGCGGCTACTCGACGGGCGGGTGGTCGAATGCGAGCGAGCGAGCGAGTGAACGAGCGTGTCGCGTTGGGCACGGTGCACGTGGCCAGAGGCATAGTCAGTGAAAATCATCGTGCGCGGACATTGGGTGGCGGGAAACGTGCGTGACACACCGGTGAACGGAGGGAGGCCCTAATCAACCTACCTAACCTAACGTAGCCGCCGGCGTCGAAGGGGGTGGCGTGTCGTAGCGTTTCGCGGAGAGGCGACGGTGGTGGCGGGCGGTGGAGGAGATGGAGGAGTGCGGGGACAGCCGGCGAGAGAGAGGAGACGGTTATCGCGGAAGTTCGGCAATTATAGGTGCCGAGTCGCCTTTTTTCTTCGTTTTTTTTCGACGACTGATATTGATTTGGGAGAGGCAGTTCGTATTCGTGGCACGAGCATACCTTGTGACTCGGCAGAGGCGGCCGGCGGCAGCGCGATGCATCACGGCGCAGCGCGCATCGAGGGGTACATCAAGCCAGGGGGGGAGGGGAATGGTGTGGTGACGGGGGAAACAGGAGGTGGGAGCGGTGGAGCGAGGGGGTATGAAAGGCGACTGGAGGATCTCCCACCACCACCGTCGAGTTCCACTCTGCCGAAACTGCCCCTACCAGCGGACTCGGTGTTTCCCCACCCTTGCCACGCGGAGCATGGTATCAAATCCCTTCCACTACGGACCTCCCTATGGACATAACATCCTCGCTGCCGCGACTCTCCTCTCTCGGTCCCTCTCTCTTTCGCAGCTGTCTCCGCTTATGCTTCATCCTCGTCTGCTGCACACGCGGTCTGTCCTCTCCTCCCATGCCACCACCGTTCTCCTCACGGCACGGTCACCGCCGTCGCTGCCACACTGCCACCACCACCACCACCACCATCGCCATCACCACCACCACCCTTGGTTCTCTATCCGCCAGGGGCGGAAGTTTCGCCGCCCTTGGATTTTTCGGGGCAGATTTCTTGGCAGCCGATCTTCCACGGGCCTGGTCCCCGAGAAAGACAAACTCGCGGGGCGATACCATGTTGAAGATCTCGTTCTCCGACGATACGCGTTACACATCGTCTGTTTTTCGACGATTCTCGTCGGTCCCTAAAAGCGTCACGAATGGTTCTTCGTACCACGATGTGGACCAGCAGCGGTAATTTTCCAAAATTCCACTGGAATCGGTGCATTTTCGCAAAATTGAACCGGTCCTCTCCCCATAAACGATACTCATCGTGTACTCCCTCCAACCTGTAGACGTTCGGGTATCTCGGTAAGCGACTTCGCGAACAAAGTATAAAATTCGCTACCATCCAATTAACGACAAAATCAAGAGCTCGTTGACCGGCAATCGTCTGCATGCGAGGCAAGATCCGTTTAAAAATTTCGCCCGTCACGCTACCCCAATTTGCCTTGTACCCAGCTTACGTACACACACCGGCGAGAACGTGAGGGTCGTGAAAGGATGGAGGGGAAGGGGGCCAAGGGACAAGCGGAGAACGAGGGGGTCCTACTGTCAGTTTGGGAGTTCTCCCTTCTCGATGATCCACCACACGAAGAGAAGAGAACGAGAATCTAGAGGAGCGCGAGGACGGCAGCGTTGGACATCGAGGAGCCCGTAGAGTCGCGTGAATCCGCCCCTGCCGCGCCATCACCACTCGCAGCCCGATGCCGGCACCTTCTCCGCTCCGTCCTTTATCATTCGCTCTCTCTCTCTCTTTCTCTCTCCTTCACTCACTCCCCCTCTCCCTGATGGGACGGTGTGTCTACCCATATCCCAAACCCGAGAGCCGAACCAGTCCAGAAATCCCCACTCCGCGGGCGCGCACCGCGGCGACGGAAGTGTGGCAACGCTGCAGCTCGCGCCAGTGTCTCGGTCTTGGCGAGTTACTCGGGGGGGCTCAGGCCGAGTCTACCGAGTTTCTGTCTACCGGCGCGCGGGTAACCCGAAAGCGGAGTGTGTGCCGAGAGGATTTAAAGTCGCGGTGCCTCTTGCCGGCACGCGAGAACCGTCTCTCGCTGCTCGAAGGCCGTAACCCACGGATGTGAAAGAACAAACATACAAAAAAAAAAAAACAAGACGGTAACTATCGTTTAAGGGAAGAAGAAAAAACAGCAACATATTTACAAAAACAAAAAAGAAGAAGAACCTGTGTTGTACTAAGTAAAGTACGTCGTGTGTGTGTTAGTGTGTGTGGGGACAAAGTATCGAGAGAAGTTTTTTGTTTGTTTCCTCGAAACAGTTTTTACGCTGATCCACGGGCGCCGTGAAACCGACCGGATTCCCAGGGGCACAGGTGATATCGCGACGCAGCAGCAGAGAACCAATCACGGAAAGAAAAAAACAAGAAGTTAGTTTTTCCGGGGGGAGGGGGGGGGCAAAAGAAATCCAGCTCACACGGCCCCTGACGAAAATTTGTAAGGAGGAAACATGGAAGAATATAAACTCGGTGGAGAGACGACGTGTTAAAAAGAATATATACACAGGGGAAAAGACGAGTACGACACGACGACGACGACGTGGGACACACACGTTTCGCGCGTTTGTCCGTTCATCGCGCGCGTCATCTTTTACCCGCCGTCCACCCGCCCGCCCGCTCGCTGCCCCCGTGTGGGATCACGCGAGAGAACGTGTGCGCCGTATCAAATCCGCAACCGCGCTCTTGATTCATAACCCAGTCGGTGTGTGTGTGTGTGTCTCTCTCTCTCTCTCTCTCTCTCTTTCTCTCTCACTCTCTCTCTCTCTCTGTCTCTGATATCCTGCTGTTCTGTGTGTATAAACGCGCGCGCCCGTACACACACGTTGCGTCGCGGTTCTCTGCTACGTATATATATATACATATATATATATATACGTGGAGGGCGAGAAATACAAAGAGGAGAAAAAAAGAAAGAAATTCTAAATACACAACGGTGGACCGCGTGCGGGCGATAAACAGTGCAAATGGCGCTCTCAGCACAGAACCAGTCGACGTCGTACGTGAACTTGTATTACTCGATCGTCCAGCGTGCGGCGACACGCTACTTTAAGGAATATTACAACTCCGGTGAGTACCAATCCAAAACACAAACACCACGTCTTTGATTAAAAGGGATCATATTACGCGCCGCGTGGCCACGTCCGACACAAGTTTACCCGCCACTTTGCTCCCACCATCCCCCTTCCCCCTCCCCTTACTCTCGGTCCATCATCATCCGAAATCACGCACGCAGCCACCTGTGCGTCGTCCACGTTTTGCCAAAACCAACGACGTCCACGCGAACGAGCGCACGCTGTATAATGTACGCGCGCTTTCAAATTTTCCCGCCGTTCCTCCTTCCTTTCTTCCCGCTCTGTCTGTCTGTCTCTTGTTCGCGTCTCTCTATTCTCTGTCACCCTCTATCTCACTGCCATCCGATCCAACCGCCTCCTCCGCAATGTATACACGCGTGCATACACATGTTACATACAGCAACAAGAGCCCCAGACAGTCCCTGGCATCTAGCAGAAGTACTCTTCCCGACACCGATTAAAACACGCCGCTGGCTAGACACGTGCCCGCCGCAACTTCTAAACTCGTGTGTTGTGTGCGCTCTCCACGCACGCCGCCGCGCACCACCGCGTCGAGGTGTATGTGTGTCGTGTCGCGCCTCGACCGTCGTGAAAACAGCGTTTAGGCTACTGCGATATATTCTTGCCACGCGTACCGCCGTTGCGCGGATTGTGTTTGTCTGATCACTGACTAACTTGATCCACGCGCGAAAATGGCTGATCACATACGGTTAAACGGTTGACGGGAGGGGGTCCACAGAATCTATCGTTTGTCCTTGGCGAATATTTAATTTCCAATCTGGTAGATCAGTACATATATGTATAGGGTATACATATAAGATGGAATCGAGGATCGAAAGGGGGATCCTTGAAGGAAAGAAACCTCGTGTCGTTTGTCCTTGGCGAACATTGAATTTCGAATTCCGATAGAGCAGTACAATAGAGAACAAGAACAGCAGATATACATATATATATATATAGGATGGAATCGAAGATCAAGATAAAATTGGGAGATCCTCGTGTCCATCCTTGTGATACCTACGTGTCAACTGGGCCTCTGGAAGTTGTGCAAAACGCGCGCGAGAGAGTCGAGGAAAAAGTCTCTCGGTGCGTGAAAGAGAAAGAGTGAGGGAGGTGGGGGTGAGAAGAAGAGACAGTGGGAGGAGGAGGTAGATAAAGACGGAAAAAGAGACTCTGGTGGACGGTACGAGCGAGCAAGATAGAAGAGGGGGGACCGCGAGAGCATGCTGATCCGCAAAATACGGTCTCGTTTAGCTATCGTCGGTGATGGTTGGGTCATCTAATCGCGTCTGAAATTATCGGTCTCGCCAGTGTACAGAGTGACGAAACCGTCGCTTGGCACAGCCTCCCCTTGGTGCGGGAGCACCGAAGAAATTTTTTCGATGATTAGCCAGAGAGAGCTCTCTTGGTGTTTTTCGCGCGACGATCGAGAGCGGCCCGCGCCACGGCGGAGTCCTTCGAATTGCTGATCGCTCTCTGATCTCTGTGTGTTAAAACGTGTCTGCTAACGTGGTGCTGCTGTCGTGTGTCGTGCGCACGCTGTGTAATCGTGGTCTCTCTCCCAGTGTGCACACACACGCCTCGTGTATACCACAGCCAGCCAGCTTCGCCCGTTCGCGGCTCTCTGGTCAAGGTGAACGTTTCGCTGACGGGGGTATAGCTTATGTGTGGCGATGATCGTGCCGCTCCTGACCGAGAGGGAACGGCCCTCGGTGAGATCGTGAGCAACTCCACCACCACCACCATGATCGTGGATCCTGTGGACCGAGCTGGCTCGTGTGTCGCGACTATGACGACGACCGATCTTCGTCAACGAGCCAACGATGCTCAACCCTAAGGATCCCACTGTGTGTCGTAAATACCGTTTCGGACACCTTAGACTACATACATACCAGTGGGACCAGTGATCCAGTTTCGCTAGATCGATAGTGTTTACCACAAAGAGAGACTCGGGACAGGAACCGATCCTCCAGCGTTGTTCTCGAAAAGTTCTATGCACATACTACCGGTTTTACCTCGGTTCTGTTGCCTGGAGCAGTCACGGTACAGTTTGAATATCCCCGACCGAATTCATAGTTTCCTCGAGGCTCTTGTTTCCGTGTGCAGGGTTCAAGGTCCTTGGTGGAAATTTCGGAACTAGTATCTCTCAAGAGGGTGGTGTAATTACGTTCACTTATTGTACCCGTTTCAAACTTATCGTGCAAGGTTAACTCCGTGTTCCACAATCACTGGAGAATCGAAAGACATGGTTGTGTTTTCGCGCGTGTTTCCCATTTTGTACGATGATGATCCTTTGTAACCGATGATGATGGAACATTGTTTGGTCAGGGAGTTCCGAGGAATGATGCACAGAAGAGAAAGGGAGAGAGACAGAGTGATCCCTCGCAGGAACAGGATAAAACGCCGCGACCAGCCCAGTGATTTACTTGTTTCCGTTCTATGAAGCGTCGAATTGTAATCTAGTTTCGAACGAACAAAAAAAAAGAGGGAGAGAGAAGCAGAGCTATCGACCGGCAAGAGCGAACCGTTATCACCGCTGTGTGAGAGGTTTATCGCGATATTCCTCGTCGACGTCGTCGTCGTCATCGAAACAGGATCATTTTCGTCGATTGACATGACGAGGATATCGACGCCGCCGGCCGGTGTACACCTGGATCGTTATTGGACGGTACACAAAGTCACTCCTGGTTCGAATAAAAACGATTGATTCACAACCCACGGTAGCCATCACCCCTCGAGCTTGGACCAACTGGAGAATTACAGATGATCGGTCTGTGGAACTTTGCTCATTTCCGAGGTACATACATACATTTGCCACGCGACATTAAACGGTTCCGCTAACGTCACAACCGCGGCCTCTTTTATTCACCTCCCGATCGCCGTGCGTTTATTCTCCTCGTCGTGAAATTACTCTAGTATCCACTATCGATGTAGAATAATCGAAGCTGATCAAGGATGCGCAAAGCATGGAAGAAAGCTTCAATTTCCATGCAATTAACCGGGCCCAACGGGACAAACTCTCCTTCAGGAGCCGAAGGGACTCCTCGGGTTCCGCGGTCACCTCGCGCGGTTTTTCGCGGAACCGACACGATTCGGGGATCTCGATCGATCCGTCAGAAATTTCAAGTGTGTACGTGAGTTTGGTTCACTTCCACATCTCGTGTGTGCGTGGCCAGCCACGATTAACGCTCGGCCGTTTTATTGAATAACTTCCCGCTCGTGAACGTCGGGAGACGCGCGTTTATTTGGAGAATAAACGTCGACCGAGTTTATCGTGTGACTTCTGACGATAAGAGAGCTCGAGCGCGCGCGGCGAGCATTGCTCCGTATCAACGGGAACGTAAGAATCGACGCGGGAGCTCGAAGACCAACCGAGTGTTTGCGTGTGGAAAATCTGCGATCGAATGCCCCCCTCCTCCTCATCGATGGTAAACCGATCTAACAACGTCGTGGTTGTCGCGAGCCACACGGATTCTAGGGTCCTCCCCCGTTCGTGATCGACTACTGGTAGGGGGGCAAAAATTTAGCTCCCAAGTACAGTTTACCCTCACTGACAGTATTAAAAAAAAAAAACAATCCGTTCCTGATCGGTTTCGTAAAGGGAGGGGGGCGAAAAACGGTGGTTGAGAGTCGAAACCGAATAAATCGGTTTGATTTATCTTCACTCGCGGCGGTGCCAAGACCCGCTCACTCTATCGTTTCCACGATCTCGTTTAACCTCGCCCGGATCGAAAGTCGACGAGAGTCCCCTATCTGTCGCTCTTGTATTTTCGTTTCGCGTAACGATTCCGATAAGCCGTTGTTACTCGAGCGCGCGCGCACACCAAGGACCCCGACGATTTCTCGCGTTAAGGAGCCCGCGCCCCACGATACTCGCTACACGGAAATATATGTACGAGGGTGTTGTGGGGGACGAGCAGGAATAAAATCGAAGATCTTTGAGCAAGTGTGCATGCATACGGTACAGTTATAAGTAGATTGCGGAAGTTTATGCAAATCCACAATTTTAAATACCTACAAATATCTAAAAATTGAAATAGGATAGAATTTTGAAATCAGCATTAGAAACTTTACTACGTTCATAATATAAATAGTATTAAACTACATTAATATCTTCATTTAGTTATATTTTTCAAATTAAGGGATGCTATAAATGCATAAACATCCGCAGTCTGGTTATGTATAAGATAAAAGCGAGACGTTTTCTAATGCATCGTATTATTTAAATTTTCTGTCTTCCATGTCTTATCGAGTCGCGAAAGGTGCGAAGGATCGGCAGTTTCGAAGCCCAGGTAGTATTCGCGCAGCATCGAGAAGAGTATTACAAAAAAAAGGAAACACAGCGACCGCTGGACGGAATAATAAAAGATGGGACAAAGCCGAAAAATAGAATACAAGAAGCACACGCGAAATGCGGGGATGGCGACGTTTTCGACTTCGTGAATACGGTATACGCATACCTACTATTATACACACAACGCTGGTGGCAGTGTTAACAGCGCTCGCGCTCGTTTCTGTCTATTTTTCTGAAAACAAACATTCGATCTGACGAGGTATATAACAACGATCGAATATACTAGAGGAGGACCCACTCGTTCCTCGAGCACCCTTCGCGCGCCGCCATCGTGGAAAGTTATGTTTTTGTTTCGCTCCCCCCGCCCCTCCCCCGATTCGTGGCGCGGGGGTGTTTTTTCGTCTCTCTTTTCCTTTCCACGACCACTGCCGCCACCCGGTCCCTTCGGCGCTCGATACGAAAATGGGCCGCAGGTATTCCCTCTGACACTCGATAAATAGCGAGAGGAATGTTTGCTCTTGCAAATGAATGTTTTCCGCGAGCCCCCACGAGTGATTTTAACTCCTGAGTGCGGCCTCCTGCCAATACTGCCTGGATCGGTTACCCTTCCCCCGCGTTTCTACCCTCCTGCCGTAACACCAGCAAGAATGGAACCAACCAATCGGTGTTCTACAACTAATTCGCGAGATCTACTATTTGTA